GGTGTTTTATAAAACGAATTATTTTTTAGCTACGTTTAAACAGTAAGAAATTTCGTCTTTGAAATTATGTCATTGTGTCTAAACTTCATCAACATAACTAATGGTAGAGTTTTCATAGGAGCATAAAGTACTGGATAAGCTCCCAACCGGAAAATATCTCTATACTAATATTATAAAGAGAAAATATTTGTGATTTATTATCACCAGCTCACCGTATGTCCCCACCGAGGGGATCGGAGCCTACCCTATTAAGGGTTGACTAGGCCATAGTCAACCACGCTGGCCAAGTGCGGATTGGTTGACTTCACACATATCTTTGAATTTCTTTGCCGATATGTGCAGGTTGCATCACGATGTTATCCTTCAGCGTAAGAACGTCGGGTAAATTATGTACATATGGAAATTCGAAAAATCGAAAGTCACATTGGTACATGGCGGGATTCGAACCCAAGACCTGTAGATTACAAGTCAAGTGTTTAAACTATTGAGCCACCGACGCTCTTATATTTGTAAATATATTTGTAATTACTAAATTAATATCAAGAATTCTTTCACGATTGGAAACCTATACTATAACTAAGTAACTTAGAATGTGTTTACATTTTTATCACTTTTTTCAATATCGCGTTGAAAAAGTCGCGAGCAAAAACTAATCTTGTACAAAATATAATAAACCAATTCTTATCCTAAGATAAAAAGTAACAAGTCAATATGTTATTATTTTCTTAACTCCGGTTACATCAAACACACTTTACTGAACGGAAACGTAGCAGTGTAACTTTCATTAACTTTGTTTAGTTTCTGTAACTTAAAGCGTTCCATAGATTTCCCTTGTCTATGACAGGATGTATGAGAGGCCGTAATCAATCAATTAAGGCTCGACGGTTCCGGTTGGAGTGATCGCTTTAGTAAGGGGGAGAATACCGTGATCACGTTACAAATGTTGGCAAAGATATGAAGAATGAAGATATAGTCATGAAATTATTAAAAGTTTATTTTATTGTTTACATTTTTTAAATGTCAAAATTACCGTTACCATAATAACCTTGGTTCCTTAATGTTGGCAGCTTGTAGTTTATGGTGCCTTTCCCACATAAAGGTTTTTTTTAAATATATTTACCCTCTAAGTTTAATAGCACGACAACATATAACCTAAAGCGTGTCGTAAGTGATGGGTTTTTATTAAAGAAACTAGCTGTTCCCGTGCGACTTCATCCGCATGAAATTGTGAAAATTTTATTTTATTGTTAAGATTTATCAAATTATTAATTACAAATGTCAAAATGACATGACATGATGACAACCTTGTTTCCTTGATGTTGGTAGCAACTTTTGGTCTCTTTCCCACATTAGGATTTTTATCCAAAATATTTACCACCTAAGTTTAATGGCGTTAAAATATGTAGCCTAAAGCGTGACGCAAGTGTAGGGCTTTTTATTAAAAAAATAATTATTCAAAAATATACTGTAGTTGCTAAAATCTTAGGCAACAAAGTGTGTGTTTACGCTTTATTATAATAGTATAGATAACTATTCAAAAATTGCTGACATCCTACACCACGAAGTAGTGTATGTTTACGCTTTATTAAATATACTACTAATTGTAAGATTATTGTGTGTAATTTTATAGGTTATTTTCGCGAATCAAAACAAAACTTCATAGATCACTGATAATTCCTAAACATTTAAAACGTCCAAATCAAGTTATCATAAAAACTTTAAACCCAGATATATCTGTTTATAAGCTACAAATTGCGGTAATAAAGCTCAATGGATGGCAATTCATAAGACAAATGTGCCAGTTATATAAGCGGTGACACTTCCAATGATGCCACGGTAACGGTGACCACAATTTCTACGAAGATCTCGGAGTAATAAAGCAAATATATTTAAAAACAAGAACTGTTTAAAACAAATTAAACCTTATAATTTACAAACAATTAATAGAGAAAACATCATGAGGAAACCTATCTGTAAAAAAATTAAAAGGCATGTGTGAAGTCGACCGGCACTGAGCAAACATGGTTGATTAAAACCTAGTCACCCTAACCCTCTAGGTAGTCTCTGCGCTCTGTGATAACGTGACGTGACAATAAGAGCACACCTTTGACTCAACTATCGCCCAACTGTTAATTGCGCTTTATATGTGCTTATAAGAAAGTGCGCATACTACTCGATTTTTAATTGTGCAACTAAAGTTGAATGGGCTGTGAAACTATCGACATTCAATTAGTTGTGCGATAGTTTGTTCAAAGGTCCAGCTCTACAGAAATAACAAGAATTGTAATGATAGACGAAATAATCGCGCAACGTTAATATCTTTTTATTTAATTAACAATACATTTTACGAAGCTTCCATGCGAGTTAATGTGCTACCAATAACGTATCTCTCAGGGAAAATATCCACCTGTTATGTTCAGTGAGCCGCGCGGCACATACTTTAGTTCACTGACCCATGTACCGCACACGCGACGGTTCCTAACTAATATTGAAGAAAATTAGACATATTTTATTGACCGACTTCCCAAAAGAAGGAGGTACTCAATTCGTCGATAGATATATATATATATATATATA